CACTCACTCACTCACACACCACGTCCTCTGAGAACTCAGCTGGCTGCAACCGCGCACACCCCGCCCCAGCGCGCGTCCCAGGCCGGTGGAGCGCAGATCCAGATCCCCAGCGCAGCCGCTTGGCCGGGTGTTCCCGAGCCTCAGGTGGCGCGAGAGGGAGAGCCCGCGCGTGACAACCCGGTTGCCCACGCCGAGACCTTCAGCCCTCCGGTCCTCGAGGGGAGCGGAACCAGCGCGTCAGCTACTCTGAGCCCACCTGCCGGCCCTCGCGGGCCCGCTCCAGCTGTGCCGGGCTCCGGGCGCCAGCTTCACCGCTGGAACGCTACGCGAACTCTGACTCCTTCTCCTGCGCCTCCCGAGTGCCCCAGACGACCCGAAGAAGCGTGGCGCGACAGCGGGAGCTCGCAATGGCCGGGGCGCGTGGGTTACTGTGTCTGTGGCTGGGCTGCTTCTGCCTGAACCTGGCGCAGGGACAGAGACAGAGCCTGCACCTCTCTGAGCCCCGCCGGGCTGAGACAGACGACCGCACGACAGGTGGTGACCCGAGTCCGGACCTGCCGCCGCACGACAAGGTGTCGGAGCATATGCTGTGGCTCTATGATAGATACAGCGGCGGTAGTAGAGTTCAGGACACCCGGACGCCCGGCTCACAGCCCCTGGGTCCCCAGCCCCTGCGCGGTGGCAACACCGTCCGCAGTTTCCGAGCCGCAGCTGCAGGTGAGTGCGGAGGGGAGGGAGCCCTTCCCGCCCCGGAGAGCAGAGGGCAGTACCTCCCGCCGTGCCACCCCGCTGTCTCCCGGCCCCAGGCTGGGCAGTCCTGAGACCTTTCTAGGTGGCTGCCTTCCGGTCCCCTGCCCTCTCGGAATTCTCCAGCTGCGTTCTGGATGAGCCCAGTTTGAGCCGGACTGAGACCGGCAAGTGGGAGAAGAGTTGGGACAGTGGCGGAGCTTAGTTAGGGGTGCAGCATGGGAAGAGGCCAAGGGACAACACCACAGCAGACTTGCCTTCTCCCGGGCACAGAGAGATCTTTCGCTGTTGGTTAAAGTGCTTGGCGGAAACTCCCTCCGACAGGCTTTGGCTGCCTTTATTCTGAAACGGATGCCATTTTATGCCAACCTCGGGCCAGGAGAGAAAAGTGCACTCAGCGGGCAATTCCCCAGACCCAGCACTCTTAACTCCACGACCTCTGTGTTACCATATCTGACACTTTCTTCTTGATAGTCCCCTAGTGGCAAACAGACAAACAAAACCAGGTGCGAGAGTGTTTAGATTATTTCTAACCCATCTGGGCTGGTAAATCTGGCGTGGTCCAAGCTGGGAAGAGTTGGGGACGGGTCTGGGACGAGGCTGCCTGTGGAGAGTAAACATCTTTTAGTACCAGCGACGGAAATCTCGTCTTCCCATTTTTCAACACAAATCATTGACACTGAAATTCATGTCTTAACGCCACCCCCACCCCAAGCCAGCCAGCCCTTGTGCTGCAGTGAACAGTTTACTCCATCAGCTTGAGGGCAACTTTCCTGGACACTCAGTGTTTATATCTGCTTTGAGGTTGCACTAGGGGCTGTGTACACCACCTTCAAGATTAAGGAATAGGTGATTGCAAAGTCTGCCTTTCGAGCTTGTGTTAAGAACCAGCAAGAATGTTAAAGGATAGAGACTGTGTCTGGACTGCTCTCTTTCAATTCTGTCCAAATTACTGGATGGCTTACCCCCTCCCCAACTTAACTAGTTAGGACCCTGGCAAAAAAAAAAAAAAAAAAAAAAAAAAAAAAAAAAAAAAAAAAAAAAAGGAGGGGGGAGTAATCCATCAAAGAAATCTCTTGCTTGTCACTGGAATTCATGAATTCATTCTGCAACTCAGAGGCATAATGACATCTACAATCTACAATAAATGTGAGTTGTGCTTTAATACAGAGAAGTCTTTTGCTGGAATCTGAGATAAGTCAGATTTCACTTTCTTCATAGACCCATGGGCAGGACAGGTAAAGAGCTGTCCTCTACTGAGGACACAAAAACCCATCTTGCCTGTGCATAGCCTCCTAACCACTTAAAGAGAGACCCTGACAGCTGACCACAGCAGAGACCCTACTGTTTACATTAATGAACCATTGACAGTGGAGCTCAGCAAAAAGAGCAGTGTGGGGCTAACAAGGTCTGGAAGAGGGCTGGTGGGTGGGCAAAGCAGGTGGCAATGAGGAAAACATCCAAATCCCTCTGGCTTTGATATTTTTTATTTGATTTTTTTCCCCAGAGAATAGTTGAGGCATCCAAGTGACAAATTATTTTTGTATCAACAAGTTTTCTTTTGAATGCGGATCGCAGTGTTAGGAGGTAGAACTTGAGTTTGTCTCATCCACACACCTAGTTTGGCTACTGATTTTAGACTGAGCAAATCATGGATAAGAACCTAATCACATCTCTGGCTTTCACTCATTCCACCCATTATAACTCCAATGCCCATTATCAGCCTCACCACAGTGTTAAACCAAGAATGATAAACTCTGCCCCAGGCCAGACACTCCCTTGAAATGATGGATTGCAGCTTGGAACATATACACAAGGCTGTGAGCCCTGATAAGAAAAGGAATCACTTTAGCACCCTACATACTGTCTTAATGACTTATTCATCAAATGTAGACATGAGTGTGTGTGTGTGTGTGTGTGTGAGAGAGAGAGAGAGAGAGACAGAGAGAGAGAGAGAGAGTGTGCTAAAGTGCCAGGTTACCTCTACTTAGAGACTCCTGGAGAGGTGGCCCATGTTGGACCCCTTCCAGGATGTTTAGTTGTTCACACGGTGATATGATTTTGCTATAAGGCCCTTCTGACTGACATGAGACATGATTCTGGGGAGGAAAGTGCTAAAGCTGTCACGTACTGCTCTCCCCAACACACCCTTCACTAGGTGACCTGTGTTGATGTAGGCAAAAGACGCCATCTGTGTTAATAAATTAGATTTGTTTTCCCAGCCCACCATGCTTAAGCTCCACAACATATGTGCCTCTCTCTATCTAAGTAAGACGTTACAGATTTTATGGAAGGTCGGGTGTCTATGCTCTGTTTATAGAGTGCCTACTAATCTTCCAGGCTCTGCTAGTGCTTACTCAGGCTGAGTTATAGCCTTAGAGAGCCATTTGCTCCTTGGAACCTAACTAATTAGAATTACTTATTGTTCTAAACCTAGAATAACTGGAGTTGAGCTGCTGTGGCCTCCCTCTGATTACTTGCTACTTAAACCATTACTGATGGCAGGTGGTGTAGATCCTCAACACACTTGCACTAACCTCTTTTCTCCTCTCTCAGCTCCAGGCAGCTGATATGCCAAAACCAATGGTTGGGTGTCTTGAAAGCTTTTCTTTTGATATGTAAGACTTTATGCAAAGATGGGTTTTATCTTTTCCTTTGTAAAAAGTGATTCACAAAGTTGTGGCTGATAAAGAATTCCAATCTGCTAGAAACACATCATCTGGAGGGAAGACAAAAAGATGTGAGATTAACTTTTATTTTAATCTGGATTTAAGTGTGTCCTTGGCTACTATCGACCTACACAGTACTTTACATAAGGTTTTCTCCTGTCCTGATCGTTCACGGTAAATAATTTATCTTCTTTATTTCCATAGACACTTGATCTTACTTGTCTTAGTCGTAACTTCTCTAGGAAAAGCAATGAGAGCTGAGTTTTCTTATTAAAAAACTATCACCACTTATGACACACAGCTATAAAAATATCACATTTCAGAGGATGCATATTACCTTTAAGGAAAGTATACTTGCCTTCATGAATAATATCAGGAAGTATTGAAGTACTGCAGACTCAGGAGTGAATGTTTTGCCTCGATAGAGAAGGATGGGGGATGATTCTTACCTAATCTGAACCAAAACCTTTCAATATCAAGGACTGTGGCTTTGACGTATTTCTAAAGTATGATGCTAGCCGATAAGGCTATAGGAAGGTTGATATATGATCCAGGCCTGAATAATCATTACTAGAAATGCACATGAAGAAGCCAGTGCCCCGAAAGATACATGGATCAGTGGGGAAGGCTCGTTTTTGCTGGGTTTCATGACAAGAGAATATAATGATGTTATTAAGACATAGTAATCAAGCTTCCAGGCACCTAGAAACAAGGCTTGAAACTCTAGAGTCCTTGGATTGTATGATGTTTTCATTTAAGGGACAATAGTACATCTGGAGGCGAGGCACTGGGATGCGCAGCTGCTTTGAATTATACACTACTTTGAATACATGATATAGCCTCTAATGAAGTTTTACTGTAATAGGCAAGACAGCTTTACAATTCCTGACATTTAAAAATCCATAATACCATGAATTCTTGATTATTCATGCTAGATGGAAAGGAAAAAGAAAATGAATTATATTTTTAAAAAAAAAAAAAGAAATCAAATATAGCTTTGTAGTGTGGTTACGCACACTCAAAGATCCCAAGAGAGCACAAAGGTCAAAGTGAAAAACTCCTAAGCAGATAATTCACTCAAGCAGACGATTTACTCAATTTTATAGACTACAACTGCATATATAATAAGGAGCTGAGAGAGCTACATGCATTACCTGAGTCATGGAAGTTCATAAGTGCTTGTTTGATTTCATCAAATATTTTAATTAGATAGAAATGTGAAGGCCAAAATTGCTTTTAAGTCTTTTTGCATTATGAACTTTTCTATTAGGAAGACAGATTGAAGAAAACAGGTCCTTTGATGGAAGCATAAAAGGTCTTCATAATATATTTGCTGGACGAATTCTCAACACGCAAATCTAATTTCAAAATTGGTTCTTTCTAGTGGCCTGATCTTATTTTATAAAGGGAAATTTCACAGAAAGTGGTCTCTGGAAGGTACTATATAAAACTGGGTGCTGAGGTCAAATGAGTTGGAAAGAATGGTCAGTATGGAACAGGCCCTTTAGTGGGAATGTCCCCTTAAAAGAGCAAGTATTCTCCCTCCTCCTCAAGAGAACCTTCTGAGAATTGTGGCCCTAGGATGTCTAGTTGGAAAAACATGGGTTCAAGGGCATCCTAATTCGCCATAAAAGATCTGTAAAACTCAGTGCCCATCTGACTACAGATGAGCTGGGCTCTCTCTTCCCAGCAGCACAGGCTTGGGACACATGATTACACTGTCCCCTTAATGACTTAGGTCCATTTGGCATGGTCCTGTGTTCTTGTTTCCAGGTTACACACTTCTCTCTGTCTAACTGCAGAGCTTCTGTGTCTGCATTTTATTTTCTCCCCTTCTGTAGGAGTCATTGTTTTTTCTCTGTGGCTGATATTTATTGTTTTATGGCAGGCATAATATCTTGAAAGAAAAGTCATGTTATTTGTGGAAAAATACAGTAGTGGAAATACATATCACATCATTAATATTTGTGTCAGCATACATGCCTTGATGAGAGGAACTCTTACTCAAGGCTTCTCTCCAGTGCCTGCTGTAGTTGAGAGATCTAATGAAGTTATACCTATCAGGAATGCCTGTGACAATCGCTCTGCAATTTGACATCCATTGTCTATGACCTAATCAGGTTTCTGTGCTACATTATGGAGAAGAACTTTTATACCCAAGTTTTAATAATTTTCCTCAAATTTGCTGATTTTGCAAATTCTGATAATTAATATCTTCATCATTTTTATTGTAGCAGAAGAAACAGAAAGCTGGAATTCTTACTGTTAAGAATTCTGTCATTAAACAGAATTTGAGAGAGG